GAATTTTTAGACTTATATTAGACTGGAATTACTCTAGCAATTTTCAAATTTTCCTGAACTTTACCTGATTTAAGTGACTGAAGATATGAAACAAAGATGGTTCAATTATATCATAGACTAATTTTAATATATTAACGTTAACTTTATCCGATCCTGCACTTTTGTTACTTTTTAAGCTTAGTAATACAGTCCGCAACTCTCATATATCTAGCTTTGACTCATTCATTTTTTTATTAGAATTTGTTAGATAAGAATCAAATGTAAAAGAAGTTGAAGGAATACTTCGTGCTTAATTAGAGCTAATTAATGAAAAAACTGTTAAATTCTTCAGCTATTAGTGCTTTATCATAAATTGATTCATCGTCAATTAAAAGTTTTTTTGGCAGAGCATTATTTTTATATTTGTTTTGACCAATTATTTCTTTAAAAGCATTCCAAGTTTGTTGAGTATTTCCATTTGCTTTTTCTAGCAATTTCGAATATTATAATTTTTTATAGTATTTTTTGATTTTTTCAAACACATTTTTATAGTTTTTATATTTTGCTTCATTTGAAAATATTTTTTTTTAGAAATTTTTCATAAAGTTTTTGTTTTTTTCTTGACGATTTTAGTAAACCTTTTTATCAAAGGCGATAGAAGTGAATTTGAGTTTATATAAAACTTTTAATGACTCGTAATCTTTTTCATTCACACTGAGGTCATTGGTATAAAATTAAAGGAGTTATGAATAAAAATGCATACACCTCCACCAGCACGGAAGTTTCGTGGTTTATGAATTGACGCATAATTCGTCAATTCAAATTGTAAATTATGCTCGTCATATTTACACCACGTCTCAGTAAGACAGATTATTTTAAAATTGTGATTTAATTCGAGCATTAGAAGTTTAAAGTCTTCAAAATTTTTGTTTACGCTTCAAATATTATTGTTTAAGATTGAAAATGTGTTTTTATTTTGTTGAAGATAAAAATTAGATTCAGAAATTGAATAGTATTTGCTTTCTAATGACTAAATAATTAGTGACGTCATTATCACAAATTGCGACATTTTCATCACAAAGTTTAATTAATAAATTATCATCCATTTTAAAATATAAAAAATAAGATGAGGGAAAAACTAGTTAAAATAAAAAATATATGAATACTTATATAGATTCAGTGGAAACAGCATCTCGTTTTTTCGCAGTCCAATCGCGAATGACTAAAATTGCTATTCCTATTTGTATAGCGTTACGTACAAACTTTTGTAGGTGTAAACGTCTTTAGCATAATATGCTAAAGACGCTTACACCTACAAAAGTTTAATAAATTATCATCCATTTTAAAATATAAAAAATAAGATGAGGGAAAAACTAGTTAAAATAAAAAATATATGAATACTTATATAGATTCAGTGGAAACAGCATCTCGTTTTTTCGCAGTCCAATTGCGAATGACTAAAATTGCTATTCCTATTTGTATAGCGTTACGTACAAACTTTTGTAGGTGTAAACGTCTTTAGCATAATATGCTAAAGACGCTTACACCTACAAAAGTTTAATAAATTATCATCCATTTTAAAATATAAAAAATAAGATGAGGGAAAAACTAGTTAAAATAAAAAATATATGAATACTTATATAGATTCAGTGGAAACAGCATCTCGTTTTTTCGCAGTCCAATCGCGAATGACTAAAATTGCTATTCTCATTTTATAGATATATTATACACGGTTATCTCTATTTAATGCAAACTCTACATATTATGTTGAGTTTGCATTAAATAGAGATAACCGTTTATAATATATCTATAAAATGAGAAAACTTTAAAATTTTATTTTAAAATTTAGAAATCTTTTTTTGCTAGGTTAATTTTTTTTTGTTATAAGAATATAAGCATGATTTAAAAAATTTCACTTAACTACTGAGCTATCAAATGAAATGCATTTAAAAGAAAAATAAACCTAATTATAAGTCTCTTATAAGCTCTACGTATGCGGAAAAGGCCATTTTAGGAGTCCCTCAAGACCCTTAAACATATAATGAGTTCCTAATATTATCAAGAAAAACATCTTCAAAAGTTTATCTTGACATTTAATTTCAAATTAGGCGAAATCATAAAAATTTCAAATATGATAATTATGTTATAAAAAATTATTTGAAAAAATAAAATTGCCAAAAATTGATAAAAATCCACATTTTTCTTTTTTTAGTTAATAAATAAATTAGTAAATAAACTTCATTTTTTATGAAGTTAAATTTAACATTGAAGTTTTCATATAATTTTGCTTCATTTGAGACCAAAATAATACACTTAAATAATTTTTTTATGATATTAGGAACTTGTTATTTTCAAGGGTCTTGAGGGTGTCCTCAACATTTTTTTTATTCAAAAATTTTCAAAAAACATTTTTTTTTATTATATAAAACACATTAGGTAGGTGGAAGCACATATTGTTAAAAAATGTTCATTTTGGGAAAACCCTATATAATAGGTTGTATGATAAATAGGTTCTATATTG